CAGGCGGAGGAACCTGCCCGACTCGGCAGCACGAGAGAGAGAGAGAGAGATAAAAAAAAGGAGGTGCGGCAGACAGCGCATCAGCGGGTGCAGGCACACAAGCACACACACACACACACACACCACACATGCTTTTTGGCGGTGCGGCCTCGCTCGCAGCGTCGAGGCGTATAGAAGGTCGAAGCGAAGCAGAGAACGCGCGGCTGGGCCACCCAACAGCCAGGGGCAAAGATCTGCCCATAGAAGATCGACCGTGTCATACGCATACCTTGGCACGGAGTGTAGGGGGGAAAGGCGCGGGGGTAAGACGAAGAGGAACGACGGGGCAGTTCCTACAATGCGGCCTGCTGCGCAGACAGAAAAAAAACGGCGCGGCGCAGGAGCGGCAGCAACGGCGATGCCGCTAGGGAGGAAGGCAAGGCAGGACGAGGGACGCCAGCGGGCAGCTGCGGCGAGAAGGCAGCCGAAGCACCAGGGGAAAGCGGAGGCGAGCCACCGCGAGGGACGAGGGACGCCAGCAGGCAGCCGCGGCGAGAAGGCAGCCGAAGCACCAGGGGAAAGCGGAGGCGAGCCGCCGCGAGGAGGGTGGTATGCCAGTCGACGCTGCGCGGGAAGGGGGCGCGCCAGGTGCCAGGAGCCGGTGAGCAGCGGACGCCCTGCGGGGCCACGGGGGCGAGGGCAAGGCGGGGCCCCGTGCCCGCAGTCGGCGCGTGGGTCAACCACATAAACCCACACCCACACCCACCCTCCCCCCCACACCCACCCTCCCCTCCCCCCCCCCACACACACACACACACACACACACACACACACACACACACACACACACACACACACAAACACACACACACACACATGCGCACCCACACACGCACACACACACACACACGAACACACACACACACACACACGCACTATTCGGTCGACGGAGAGAATGGCACAATGCCCAACAGCAGATGTTGTCCCGAATCAACAGCGGCCGCTGTTTGGCAGGGGGCCTTCTGTCTCAAATGGACACAATCCGCGGCGACGCCGACAGCGAATCCTTTTCAAAATGAACAAGAACTGCTGTCCGTCTTTGTACCCATTCGTTCCGTACCCATGTCGGTCGTCCCGAGGCGAGGCGGCCACCCTGCGGGAAAGACGCAAGGAGGCCGGCGCCGTGAGCGGGCGGGCGCGCATTTTCTTACTCGCGGCCATATAGCGATAGGGGGGGGGTGGCGGGAGGGAGCATAGCGTAGCGCCCCCCCCCCCAAGGTGTGGTGCCGGACGCACTGCGGCGGTGCCGGGGACGCACTGAGGGTGGGAGCGCTGCGTTGTGAGGGGGGGAGAGGGGGGGGGGGAAGGGGGCATGACGCGCGTGATGGCCCAAAGGGTTTCTTGGGCACCAAGAAAAACCAAAGCAGAAGAAGGCACGCTCTCGAGGGCAGCGGGCCGCGAGGCGCCGGGCGCCAGGGCGGGGCCAGTCGCTCACCGCCGAGGGTCCACCCACAAGGGGGCCGAGCCACGCCAGGAGAGCGTGGCCGCCGTGCGAGGCAGCGACCCGGAGAGGAGCGGACCGGCCGGGGGCGGAGAGCGCCGGATGCAGGCTCCGACGCCGAAGACGAAGAGCGGGTCGCAGCGCGGGGCCGCGAAGCGGGGCGGGGGTGCGGCCAGAGGGCGGCGGCACAGCGACGAGCTGCTGCCGCAGAGCGATGGCTGGCGAGCAGGCCAACGCCCGACCTGCGACGCGGAGGTCCTGGGACCAGAAGCAGTGCCACGAGCGGGCAGGTCAACGCCCGAGGCAGCTACAAGCCGCAGGGGGGCCGCGGAGGGGATCCAACGCCCGAAGAGAAGCCGAAGCACCGCGTGCCGAGAGAGCGGGATGCAGCAGGCCGGGGTGAGGTGGCGAGCCGCGGTCAGAGACGAAGTCGAACGACGAACTGCACCCTTAGGGGACCTCCAACAGACGTGAGTGAGCCCGGGCCGGTGATCGCGCCAGGGGCGGGCAGGTCCGCGCCCGAAGCAGCATGGTACCGGCGGGGACCCGCACCCGGACCCCCGAGGTCATGATATCTTCATACAGTCAAAACATGTATTAAGAACGGGTGGTAAGGACGCAAGACCCTTGGAGGCCGAAGTTGGACTTTTGGGGCGGGGGGCGGCCAGCGAAAACGGCGAAGGACGGGCCGCAAAGGCAAGGACTCAAGGGCACCCTAGATGAAGGCACGCGTCCTTACCAGGCGCGTTGACTGCAACGTCGACCCCCAGAGGCCTCGGGCAAAGAGGTCTCTCGTGGCTCTCGGCCTCGCGGGGCCCTCGCCGGGCCTCGGCCGGGGCAGGGGCCCGGGAGGGGAGGGGCCGCGGGGCCCTCGCCGCGCCCTCGAGGGCGCCCGCGTCTCGAGAAAGATCGGGGCGTCGGAGGCCCGGGGAGGGGAGCGAAGAGGCGGCCGGCGGGGAGGGGCGGCACCCCGGGGCCCCAGCGGCCCGCGCAGGTCCGCGCTCGAGGCAGCAGGGGTGCCAGACTTGAGCAGGGGCCGACCGTCTCGGCAGTCCTATAGTCCTACCACGAAATGCTCTTAGAATCCCAAAATGTTCAAAGTACAAAAAAACAATCACCATGTTCTAATAACCAAAACCATGATCTTAGAACATAAGCCTGATGTGACAAAACAAGACAGATTCCGCCAGAAATGTTCTAAAAACGTTTCGTGGAAACCACAAAAGGTTCTTAGAACATTGTTTGGTAGGGCTATAGGCACGCACGCCAGGGCGCTTCGCCACTGCTTGACAGACGCCCTCGAGTCATACAGAACTTGCGGCGGAAGGTTTTTCACCATTTTTGGCCTCCGGGGGCTCTGACTGGGCTCCTGGACCGTCGAAAAAAAAACTCGGGCTGAAGCGCCTGTCCCAGGGAATGGGTCGAGACCTCTGGGGGTCGACGTCATGAGAATGTAATGGCGTCGGATGTCTGGGGTGCAAGGGGGGGGGGGGGAAAGACACGCCGAGGGAGTCACTCCCTGGGGGACGGCGCAGGGCTGGCCCGCCGCTGTCGCCCCTCTCGTCGTGTGCCGCAAAACGAAAAAGACCACACCACAAACACCACACACACACACACACACACACACACACGCACACGCGCCAAACCATCTGGGGGCAAACCTGAGCATCATGATGATGCTGATAGTGCTCATCCTCATGCTTTCGTTTCTGGTCAGGGCGGCGGCTGCAATGCTCACCTGTGGTTTGCAAGATCGCGCTTGCGTGTATAAGTGGCCGTGGTGACAGAGTACTCGAGATGGAGCTCCACAAGAGCTTGATACGCGGGCCACATGTGTAGCTGTCGTGTTTCATCGGGGTCCCCCTCCACACAGGTGCTCTCACAATAGCGACGGCCGCGATCAGCATGATGGCATGTACCCCGGACAACGTGGAGTCTGATCGCTGCCCTGCGCCACCACCAAGACGATCAGCCGAGCAGACTCGCAAACAAAAACCGCGGGCAGGCGAAGCTGTCCCCCCTCCCCCGAGGGAGCTCCTGCTCCTGACCGCCGCCAAGATGAGCAAAGGACGCCACCGACATGCGTCTGCCCTCCGCTCCGCGGCCGCGGTGCGACAGGGGAGAAGCATGCGAGCTCGGGCGCCCGCTGAGACGAGTAGAAAGGGTGAAGAGGCGTATGAAATATGTGGCTGCACATCTACACTTCCCTGACCCCTTCCCTCCTCATTCAATCCCGGTGTCCTCACTCCCTGCCCTACCCATCCCAACCTAGCCTGCTCCAACTCGTCCTCATACCCCTCCCACCCTCCTCCTCCTCGTCCTCCTCCTCCTGCTCCTCCTACTCCTACTCCTACTCCTACTCCTACTCCTACTCCTACTCCTCCTCTTACTCCTACTCCTACTCCTACTCCTACTCCTACTCCTACTCCTACTCCCTCTTCCTCATCGTCCTCCTTCATGCTCATCACGTCTCACTCCAGATCCTCATTGCACCTCGTCCTGCTACTCCTCATTATCATCATAATCCTCCTTGATCTAGACATAAGATTCCTCCTCCTCCTCCTCCTCCTCCTCCTCCCTCAACATATTCAATATTTCTATCCTCATCCTCATCCTCCTCCTCCTTCTCTTTCTCTTCTTCCTCCACGTCCTCCTCATCCTCCTCCCCCTCCTCACCCAATCCCCAAATCTATCTTTCCTCCTTCCTCCTTCCTCCCCCATTGCGCCTCTTCCTCCTCCCCCTCGAAAGAGGATATAGACATGAGGAATGAGAAGGGGAGAGGAGGAGGAGGAGGAGGAGGAGGAGGAGGAGAAGGAGGAGGAGGAGGTGGAGGGAAGGAGGGGGAGGAAGGAGAGGAGGAGAAAGAAGAGGAGAATGAGGAGGAGGAGGAGGACGAGGAACGTTTGGGAACATGTAGTTTGACGACAAGCCCAGTCGGGGCCCCCCAGCGCAGCCAGGAAGAGCTAACACCGCACGCGGCACAGAAGCCCCGCGTGCGACCTTAACTCACCCAGGCCTCTGCTGCGGGTCCCTCCTTGGGAATGGTGTCTGGTAGAGCTGCGCTAGCACCGACGCCTTGCAGCGGCCGATCGCGGCCACGCGGCCGCCGCCCCGCGCGCCCGCCACGAGGAGGAGGGGGAGGGGAGCGGGGCGGCCACCGACGGCCCGATGAGGCCGTCCGCAGCTGGTCCTTGAAGGCCCGCAGGAACTCCTCGCCGAGGCCTGCGTCGACGATGACACCGGCGGCCACGTCGCGGAACAAACACCGCCTGCTCCAGCAAGGCCTTCGAGTCGCCCCCGGAGCAGCTGTGCAACTCCGACTCCGCGTGCGCCCCCGTCGCGCAGTCCAGGGCGTTCTCCAAAACGACGTCCCAAACTTCCCGACTTCCGCCGAGGAGCCCACCAGCTCCATCGAGCCGTCCGCCATCTCGATCGAGCCCACCAGCTCCGACGAGTCCGCTTGGGCCGAACCGTTGACCTCCGTGGAGGAGCCGTCCGTAACCTCGGGAGCCTTCGTCTCCTCGCGCATCCCGGTGCCGTTCTGGGTCCCCTCCGTGTCGAGCCGAGTGCTATCCAGGACCTGCGTGGCCTCGGCGGTCTTCACGACCACGTCCCCCGAAGCCATCTCCGCCTCCAGGACCAGCACTCCTCCGTAGCTCGTGGCCGACACCATCTCCTCCTCTTCATCGGTGGCCCTGCAATCGGGGCCGCGCATGATGCCCTTCTTCGACAGCTCGCCGATCTTGTGCACGTCTCCGTCGCTCATGGCCGAAACCAACACCTTCACCTCATCGGGAGTCTTGAAAACAGAGCCGCACATGATGTCGGAGCCGTTCTTGGTCATCCCTTTGTGGAGCCGAGTGCTCTCCAGGACCAGAATGTCTCCGTCGCTCATGGCTGACACGAACTCTTTTACATCATCGGTGGCCTTGCCGTCTGGGGCATACATGATGTCCTCCTTCATCTGCTCCCCCAGCTTCTTCACCACTGGCTTCAGCAAGAGCTCGCACCTTGGCCCGCTGTTGTCCCACGTGACCGCCTTCCGCTCTGGGGCCGTCGTCTCGATGGCCACCTCGACGCCTCCGCCTGTGCGGAGCTGGCGGCTGCAGTCCGCCAGCCTGCCCTCGACCCTCTCGCACTCCTGGGGGCCTCACGAGAGCGCCTTCTCACAGCCGTGGTGCACTTCGGACTTGTCCACGTCGAGGGCGCGCCTCTCCGGAGGCCAATTTCTCCATCTCCGTGCGCTGCGAGCTACCCGTCGAGTCCGCCTGGTCTGACAGATCCGCCTGCTCGGACAGGTCCGCCGTCTCGAAGGAGTCCACGTCCGCGCGCCAGCGTCTGCGGCCTCGTTGCCGCCGCCTCGTCTCCTTGGGCGGCAGGCCGAGCACCCCGGCGCCCTCGCCGAGCTCGACGTGAGCGGCGATGTTGCGGTCCAGGCGCACGGCTCCTGGCACTGGCCGCCCAGAGACCTGCAGCACCAGCGCCCGCTCGATCGCCCGGAGCCGCGCCGACACTTCCAGCTGGCCCTCCTCGTCGAGGAGCGCCGCCTTCTCCGCCTCCTGGGGCGTGGTGCCGCGCGCGCTCAGGCCCAGCAGCATGGCGCCGGTGCAAAAGGCTGCAGCGACGGCGGCCGCCACGCCCTGCCGCCCGCCTCCGCCCTCCACCGCACCCGCCGCCGCCGCCCGAGCCACTGGGGCGAGCGCCGCCACAAGGTCCCCGCGAGGGGAGAGAGGCCACGGACCCAACGCTGCCACCCGCCTGGCGCCCATGGCAGGCTTGAGCCAAAATGGCTACGGAAGAGGAGGAGGACGAGGAGGAGAGAGACGAGGAGGAGAAGGAGGAGGAGAAGGAGGAGGAGGGCCCAAAGCATGTGCGCGGACGAGGGGGGGACCAGGCTACGCATGGAAATAGAAAGGAAGAAGCATGGACCCTGGGAGACTCCACAGCCCCAGCCACGAGATCCACACACCAATAGACCTCACCCCCCTCTTCTAGGACGAAGGCAGGATGAGGACACATTCGCAGAAAGGTGCATCGGGGAACCCTGAGAGCTCGCGGGTCGCGGGTCTGGAAGATGCATCGGGCGTCGAGGCCGTTCCAGAGCACTCCCGTACGCTCCGCCAGCGCTCAGGGACGCTCTGGAACGACCTGCCATCATCCGATGTTTGCCTTGTCGACGCCCCCGAACTTTGGAGAGGGGGATCGTCGCTTGGAAAGGTGTGCCCCTGGAGGCCGCTCAACTTGCCGTCGCTCGGACGTCGTGCATTTTACGGTTTCGTGCGCATTTTTGTTGGCTCGATGGTCCAGGATGGTCCTCCATGGTTCTCGCCGGGGAAAAACGGGCACGCCCGAGCGACGCAACGTCAAGTGGGGTCTCAGTAGATCGGGTCGGTGGATGGCGCCGCATCGCCGATGCATCGGCGATGCATCCGCGACGCGACGTCGGCGATGCATCGGCGATGCGGCGCGATCAGCCGACCCCCTCGCCGACAGGACCGCCTTTAACTGGCGTGGCAGTCGGGCACTCTGAAGGGGACTCGCTGGCTGCCCCCACGTTTGGGTCGCCCTGACCCCCCCCTCCTCATGCATGAATTCGGAACTCTATGCATGACTTTCACCCTTTCATCTTCTGGCACGGGCTCAAACTTTGAAGCCCCAAGGAGCGAGCGAGCGAGCGAGCGACCCCAGCTGGGTGGCCCGAGGCCCCTCTCTCGCCCGACTGCAGTGCGCACGTGCCCCGCTGCTCCCCAGACCTCCCTGGGGGCGCGTTCTGACCGAGGCTTCGAGGCGGATCCATCCGTGGCGACGATAGACAACCTTCTGCGAATCCCACCCTTGCAATTCAGATATTATATCTGTATATGCATATAACCAAAACTTGACTTCTGAATTCGAGGGATACCTGCAGCCAAATGAGACCCAGCGGGGGTGACTTGGGCAGAAACGCCCAAACCTCATTGAGTTGGTGAAGAGCTTCAAACCAGCGCGAACCCTCCTCGGTTGCGTGGGCCCGCCGAAGGAGCGAATATTGGCTTCGGCTGGGCAGGTCGGCGATGTTAGCCTTTGTGGACACTCGCAAAAAACGCGCGTCGGCGTCGAGCACGTCCGATACCCCAGCACCGGCTGGACCCGTACGGTTAGGTTTCGCAAGTGGTCGCAGAGACGAGGGACGGCGAGCGGTATCGGCATCTGGGCGGCCCTCTCCCGCCCATCCTGCAGTGCGCACGCGCCCACCGGCCGGTCACCCGCGCGGGCGAGCCAGAGACAGGCCGCGCCCTCCTCGAGCCTCAACGCTATCGAGCCGAGAGGAGGCATGTGATACCCACATCCTCCTCCTCCTCCTCCTCCTCCTCCTCCTCCTGACCGTCATCAAAAGCAACCATCAATCCTCCTCATCCTCCACCTCTTTCCCATCGTCATCGTCATCATCATCATCATCATCATCATCATCATCATCATCATCATCAACATCATCATCAGCAGCAGCAGCATCAGCATCATCATCAGCATCATCAGCACCACACTCACTATGATCGTCATCATCATCAGCATCATCATCATCAACAGCATCATCATCAGCACCATCCTCATCGTCATCCTCATCCTCATCCCCGTCCTCCTCATCCTCCTCATCATCATCCTCATCCTCATCATCATCCTCATCCTCATCCTCATCCTATTCCGTAACCTCATCCACGTCCTCATCCTCATCCTCATCCTTATCCTCCTCCTCGTCATCATCATCATCACTCGACAATCGTCACTCATCAATCATCGCCATCATCACCATCACCATCATCATCAGTATCACCATCATTCATCATCGTCATTAGCACTATCATCATCACAATCATCAGCCATCCATCCTCAAGCCCGAGTCCTCAATCCTCCATCCTTCATCCTCCATCCTCCCATCCTCATTCCTCGATCCTCCATCCTCAAACCATCATCATCACCATCACCGTCGTCAGTATAAGCAGCATCATCAACAACACCATCAATATCATCATCATCATCATCATCATCATCATCATCACCATCATCCTCATCATCATCATCATCAGCATCATCATCATCCACACCAACATCATCATAATCGTTATCATCATCCTCATCATCAACATCATCATTATAATCATCAACATCATCATCATAATCATCGTCAGCATCAACATCATCGGCATCATCACCCGCGACATCATAGTCGTCATCACCTTCAGCATCAATTACCAACAGACAGAAGACTTATCGCAACGCTCAACTCTAATCACAACCGTCGTGATCAGCATCGTCATCATCATCATCATCATCATCATCATCATCATCATAATCTGCATAAACATCATCATCATCATCACCAAGATCTTCACAAGTATCAGCATCATATCAGCAGCAGCAGCAGCATCCTCGCCCTTATCAGCCTCATCAACATCATCAGCAGCAGCAGCATCATTATCATTATCCTCCTCCTCCTCAGCCTCACCCTTATCATCCTCATCATCCTCCTCATCATCATCATCGCCGCAACATCATCATCATCATCATCATCATCATCAGCATCATCATCATCATCATCATCATCATCATCAGAATCATCATCATCATCAGCATCAGCAGCATAATCACCATCACCATCATCACCAGCATCAAAATCATCATCATCAGCATCATCATCATCATCATCGGCATCATTTTCGTCGCCATAACCCCTCAGCAGCAACATCCAGTATGTTGATGTTGGGAAGGGCCTTGCACTAGGGAGCGTAATTACATGGAAGGGTCCATCTGGGGCCAGAAGCGATGGTAACAAGATGCGGCCTGAGAGCGTTCTGTAGCCTTCTGCAGCAGCAGGCAAATATCGGTCCTTCAAGCTGCAGCGTTCTCATTAATGTGATGCAGACTACTCGCGTTACTCATGTCCTCTGCGACTGGCCATGCCAATGAACATCAGCGCGTCTCATGTAAAATCTCAATCTACAGACAAAACAAGATAGCACAAACACTAATGCGGAACCTGTGAGAATGGTGGAGGATTTCAGTGTATGCTGCCGTGCGGAAGCACGTGCGAAACGCATCGACGGCCACACCAGTGATGGCGAGCAGGAGCGCGATGCGGGGATACTCCTCGCAAGCCTCTCCGTGGTGCATGGCAACTTCTATTGGGCGCCCGAAGTGTCCGGGGTAACTCGGGCCCGGGGCAACTCAGGTTCGGAATCCCGAAAAACGAACCCGAGTTAGCCCCGACCCGAGTTACCCCTGATGATTCGGGGCTCTGATTCTAGGTCTCCACAGACAACACCACAAAGGCGACTCCGAGGCGACTGCCGGGGCCCCGCCCTGCCCGGCAGCACCACTCGGGCGCGCTCGGTGCCTCGGCTGCTGCAGCCCTGCCGGCTGCCCCAGGTCGCAGCCGCGCCGCGGCACCGCAGGACGAAGCCCAGCGACCAGGACGTCACCGGGCCAGGACGCGTCGGGGCTCTCTGAGATCTGGCGGCTCAGGAGGAGGAGGAGGAGGAGGAGGCGGGCGCCGCGGCCGCTCCAGAGCGCTCCGGAACGCTCGGAGAGCGTTCGGGGACGCGTTCCCCCCCGCGCGCCGACCGCAGAATCCCCCCCCCGCCCACTTGAGGAACGTCGAGCAATACGCCAGCCATCCCACACATGTCTGCTCTTAGGGCTCGAGCTAAGCAGTGTTTTTCGTTTTCTTGTCGTTCGTTTCCGTGCTGCCCCGTTCTGTCTTCGTTCCGCCTCTGCTGAGAAACGACATCAGCACGAAAACGGCCCACGAGAACTCCAAAACACCGTTTAGCTCGAGCCCTGCTGGCTTCGGGACCAGCCCAGGCTGCACAACTTCCGTCGGGGCGCCACTGGGCACCCTGGGGGCACCTGGCGAGACGCGGTTGGTGGAAGGGCACCCAGCGGTACAGAGCCTCAAGAGGCCTCCTAGATGGGGTCGGACGATCGCGCCGCATCGCCGATGCATCACCAGTGTATTGGCAATGCATCGGCGACGTCGGCGATGCATCGGCGACGCTGGCGTTGAGCAAGTCGGACTCCACATCGAGCCTCATCGCCGATGCACTGGCGATGCGGCACGATCCTCCGACCCCACATGCTCCGACCCCATCTGTGAGGCCCAGGGCCTTCCAACTTGCCACCGCTCGGACGTCCATCCCCCGTGCCTTTTTTCGGCTGATCCAGGATGCTCCTCGACGGTCCTCGCAGACAAACAACGGTGCACACCTCCGAACCACGCCGAGGGCCACCCGAAACCTCCCGCGAGCAGGGAGGGCAGCGGGCAGGCCCAGGCAG